ACACCTTGCACATATGCACCCTTAGGGTATACCTCACTTGGTTGCCTCGGAAAATAATGGTCATGTCCCTCGAACGTAGGGATACCCTTAGAAAAGACCCTCGGTTAAAGTAATCATAAAAGATCATGGTCCCTTACTGTCCTTCGAGTTGCCTACAGTATATGATCTTGTCCCTCGATGTTGCCTACGAATATATGATGACAGTCCCTTCGAAATGCTAAGGTATCCTTACATGTTGCCTTCAATGACCATTACGTCCCTTTCGAATTGACCCTTACAAACTCCAACGACGGTGCTACCTATTTCTCAATAGTAGGATAGCGCTGTCTAAAGGAAACAAGAATAGAAACGATCTTTTTTCGAGTAGGTAGATGCTAGTAGGTACTTGCTCAAATCAAACTTTTTCACACCAAACACTTTTCAAACAAAGTTTTCAAAAACACTTCGTAACACTCTTGAAGACAGAAGCAAGGGTTAAAACGAAGTAAAACAAACTTTTTAAAACAAAGCACACACACAAGCAATTTAAAAAGATGAGCAAGTACTTAAGAGCCCATAGAAAACCATGGATAGAAAGGGTGCTAACACCTTCCCTTTCTATAATCTATCTCCCGTACTCAGAATATCTCGAAAAAAAGATTTTTTCTCTATTTTTTCCCTTTCCGGTTGGATGAAATAAAAGTCGGTGGCGACTCTTGCTTACCGCGACATTTTGCAAATAAAAAAAATGCAAAACGCAAACCAGTAAAAACAGTCGGTTCTGCCACCGTATCACAAGGGAGAAGAGGAAAAAAACGCTAGGGTTTGAGGGAGGTGAAGCTGTAACCGAAAGTGAGAGAATGAAAAATTATATTGAATGACAGCCATGATGCTTTTGGAACGGTTAAACATCAGTTACATAATTCACAATGATTATGGAAAGTTGGAGAGAGAGTGAAACGATACATACAACAAGGAGAGAGGTTAGACAAAGCCATTATTTTTATGGAACGGTCGAACAACAGTTACAGAATTCACAATGAATATGAGAAGTTGGAGAGAGAGCGAAACAATACGTACAACAAGGAGAGAGGTTAGACAAGAAAATAAAATATGTAATAGAGTACAAAGAGTGTATCCACGTAATGTGATATTGGAAAAAAAAAAGATAAAATTGACACTTTTGTTAGATTGTACTATTTTCTTATTATTATAGATTTTCTTTAGAGATGTAACATTCATTGAACCTGATGGAGTAATAATAGTTTTTCATTAAAATGCCACCTTATAAACTAAACAGATATAAAACACCTGCATTCCTATCCCCTTACTTCACTCATAAATTTATTGCAATTAAACTCATAAATGATCTCTTTGAAGTAGTTGTGATTCATCGTAAGTAGATATCTTTCAATGTTTGTGGTCACCACTCACCACACACAGTACAAGAATCTTAATTCATTTGCACATAATACTACTACTAGTTTGTGTAAAATTTTACACGTTTTGGCTAAGCTATTCTTTGTGGGGTAACTCATCTAGTGAATTATTGTTTTTTTAAATTTTTTTATTGCATGGATAGTGAGTGAATTATTGTTTTTATTATTATACGTAAAATTGTAGGGGACAAGGGATTCTAATTTTAATTGAAAGTGATATTTGTGCCCAATGCATAAAGTAAATGGAGCCCATATTTATTTGTTAAGGTACACACATCTCAAAGTGCAATATTGCATGGTTGGTAGAGTGTTGACTTTATAGTAACTTTTTTTTTTTTTAATTTAGAAATGTTTAAAATGTTTAATAATACATATAAGATGCTTGAGAATAATATCTTTCCAAAATACCATTCAAAGAAAAAATCTAATAAATTTCTCCATAAAGGTTACATGATGAACTCATGGCGTCATTTATTATGAAACATGAAAGAAAAAAAGGCTACACGTTTTTAATAATAGTGTTCACATTTGGATGATTAGCAAATATTGGAAAATTAAGATCTTGAAGTTTTTCTTTCTTTGACATAAGCTCCATTTGTTTTTGATATTTTAGTTAGATTTGTGTGATTTTAGTTGACAAGAAATAAAGGTTAGTAAAATTTGTATTTAATTTTATAAAAAAATTATCAATATATCTTTGGAGGGATAATTCAAAAATTAATTTTTAAGAAAATAATTTGTTAAACAAAAAAAAAATTGAGAAAATATACTATTAAGAAAGAAAAAAACTCAACAATTATTTTTCTATATAAATAAAAAGTTAATGCGTTGTATTTCCAAATATTAACAAACAAAATAAAATTCAATGTCAAATCAGGAGTTGAACTTGTGAATTTTAGAATGATTACAATTTTTTACCAACTGAGATAATATTAATATATGACTTGATGACTTTTTAATTTATAATTTTTTATCATAATATCTCTAGACTAATTGAAAATTCAAATTTTAAGTAAGGAAATAATTTGTAAATAAAAGGTAAATGAGTTGATTTCAAAATATTAGTAAAGTATATTTCAATTATCAAAATGTCTCATATTTTAACAACATTCTTTTTATAAATTTTCAACTAAAATGACGAGATTGCCCTCACGCGTAGCATGTGTTTGGGTCTAATTTGCACAATGCAATTTTAATTCAACTTTAATATCATATTAAATAATTTTCGATTACATTTTTAAAATTAGTTCAAAATGAAGTTTTCCAAACATTTTAAATAACGTGGGACTCTAAATAACACGAATACAATTTCAATAGACTCACGAATTTAAGAGTGTGAGATGATAAAAAAATTAATTAAATCGATAATTTAAATTAAATTAAATCAAAAAAATTGAGTGTTTTTGGTTCATATAAAAAATCAAATCAAACTAATTAAAATCGAAGTGATTTAGTTTAGTTATCGATTTTAATTTTTTGGAACCGTCAAATTAATGAACCGACCGATTACTATAATATCTATTTAATCTTTTATTTAACTCATTATTAATATCAAATTTTTTATATTTCATTTCTTTAAATAAAATATGTAGTCAAAATCAAATTCTAAACATAAAAGTTAAAAATCATAAATAATAAAAATTTACTTTCGTCAAGCTGCTACTCTTGCTGTCCGCTATAATGTTTCTCTCACCACCGTCGTTTTTATAGATTATAGTTGTTTTATTTGTTTTCAAGTTCTCTTTGTTAGTTTTCATCATTTTCTTACCTTTTATGTTTCTTCTTCGGTGAATTTCGTTTTAGTCTTGTAACAAAATAGTTTTCCCGTGTGTTTGAAATGTGAAATATGTTAATTTATGTGTATTGAAATCTTTTATTTTTATTGTTGTGTTTTATTTGTTAAGTTTTCAAATCTTTTTCCAACCTTTTAATATCAAGTACCAACTTTTATATTCGATAATAAACTTATTTTATGAAGTATAAAAACTATGTCAATACTTCGTATAGATTATAAATTGTTTGAATGAAAATTTAGGATAAAATATATTATATAAAATATATTATTTGAAAAGATAATAACATAAAATATATATAAAAAAATTGATAATAAATAATACATCACTAAATATAATATTTAGAAAAAATATTGAAAACCGATCAATTAAACTAAATCAAATTGAATCAAATTGATTAGTTTAATTTAATTTGATTTTTTAAAAATACTAAAAACCAAATTAAATCAATACGATAGAAATATTATTAATTTAAATAAATTTTTAAATAAAAAATCAATCCAAACTGAACTGATTATACCTCAAGACGAACCATTCTAATTAACATACAATTTTCATCACCATTTATCTATCAAAGCGAACCATTCTAATTAACATACAATTTTCATCACCATTTATCTATCAAAGCGAAATTAAATTCTCTCACTCATCGAACCCTTAAGACATCTACTTTCTTATATGAGCATACTTTATCTCACTTTATCATTTCTCTTATAAAAAGTCTTAAATAAGGATCAATGACAAAAATAGTACTACCTACGAAAGACAAAGATAAAGAAATACAAAAGACTGGAGAAATATATCAACATTTAAATTTATGTAAAGTTTATTTAATACAGTGTTCAACGTTTAAACGCACACGAAGTTGTATTTGCCAATAAAAAATTATTGTGATTTTAAATTAATTTAGAAAACTTAATGTAAAGTCAAATATATTTCTAATAATTACACAAGTATTTATTATTTTTTATAAGATCAAATAAGAATAAATTTTCTTTTACAAATTCAAGATGACAAACTAATTAAATAAGTTGGATTGACCCATTTAACCTATTGTTTTAAACTGAGATTTTCAACTCATCATGCCTATCCTGCATAATCAATTAAATAAACATGGTTATAATTTGACCAATTAAAATAAAATAAAATAAAAATAAATTTTTTTGAAATCTATTATGTTTGTTCAAATACATTATTTATATAATATATTTAAAAAATGTTTTCTTTTATAAATAAAATAAATAAATATTATTTAATAAATATTTTAATTAATATTTCTTTTAAAATATTGATAGATCCAACCGTGAATCTATCACAAAATAAGATAGAATAATATTTTAAACTTAATTGTTTCGTTCACCTATTTTAATATAAATTTACGATAGAATAAATCTTAGATCTTATTACTTTTTTATCATTTTTATTTATCTTTTAAATATAAAACATTATGATGAAAAATTTTCTCTAAAATATTTTACATTGCAATAGTTAGATATACACATAAACACAATACTAAAATAAATTAAATAACATCTTTTACAAAAAGAATAAATTTCATTTTAGTCTTAAAATTATATATTCTTTAAATGGCATATCCTAATTTCGTAAATTAGTCACGAATAATCTTCCGAATATTCAAATTATTTAAATGAATGTCAACAAAAAGAGGAGTTTATCATTTTTCCATATAAAAAAAAAGATAATAGAATATTTTCTTTTCAAAAAAGAGAGAAGAAAGAAAAAAAGAAAAATGTCGGCCTACCCAAGTGTGGTTAATTTAACCAGAGTCTCAGGTTCCAACTGTTGATGCGGACCGCTCGTGAGAGAATCGTCGGTGACTCGGTTTTGACTCGTTCGAGTTAATTACTAGTAACAACGACTCACCGCGATTCTTTGTTTTTTTCTTCTTTATTGCCATTGCCATATAAATCAAACCAAACCAATTCTCCAACTGCATTTCCAAACGCAAACGCATAAGCGATTTCTATAATTCATTTCTAACTTTTTCTTTTCACATGGCTGATTCTACACCTACCGATTCAGTGTCGGTGGATATGGATTCCATTACTCCTTCTCCTAAGGTTTCTTTCTCCCTTTCTACCTATCTGCATTCTCCTTTATCATCATCTTCTTCTATTGTTCTCTCTTATTATCATCTATAACTTTTGATTATTTGCTTATTTTTTATTCTTAACCGTTTTTTTTTTGTTAGGTTCGTTTTTTATTAATTTTTTGTGTTTATGTGTTTGTGTGATCGTTGATGTGATATTGGATTATGAATGAAGCTTGATGTGAACAGTTAGGAATAATGTGAACTTGTGATGATTCTCAATGGTGTTTGTGTGAAAAAGTTACTTTGATATAGATATAGCTACTAGTTCAGTTTTGGATACGAGTTTGAAGATTGAGTGAAGATATTTGAGTTTGTGTTTATCTTGTTTTTGAATGGATTGAAGAAATAGGATTGTGTTTGTAAAAAATTGCTGTTATGCTTTTCTTTTTTCAATGACAGTGTTGTGGTGGTTACATAAGGTTTTGAATTGTGGTTTAGTTAATGGTGAGCGGTTTAGAAGTGATTTGTAATAACAGTTGCAGATGGTTAGTATTTGCAATTGAGAAATGGTTAATAATATTGAGAGAATTGTGGTTGAATGAAGTTGATATTGCTTCAATAGTAGCCATGTTGCAGCTACGAAGACGACAAAAGACTTGGTGTTGTGGTGTAGAACGTGGTCGCTGGCTGTTTAATAAAACCCTATACCCTAGTGAAAAGATTTTGATTAAAAATGTACATCTTAAGATATTAGAGAGAATCACAGTTGCGTTAAAGATCGCAGTTGGAAAGTAATTATTGATCTCGCTGAGAATTCTGGTTGAATGAGGTAGCTGCTGCCTCGATAGTAGATGTGTTATGGCTGCAAAGACATAAAAAAAAGTTGGTGTTGTAGCTCGGAACGTGGTCAAAAATCTTTTATTGAAACTCTAGGCCCTAGTAAAATAACTGATTAAAAAGGCACCTCTTCTGATGATATATTTTCATTGCTGACATGAAAAGGTTTGAACCTTCATGTTATGAATTGCTTCTTTACATGTAACTTCCATTTTGTGTGTTGAATGAACCCTCAGAGCATTTTTACCGTTTTTTTGCACATGCGAATTCATAGACATGATTTAGAGTTTTCGCGTTTTAGTTTTCAGCATCCAAATTTTTCTTTATGCTCCCTTTAAACTTTTGTGACGAAACTTGAATGGAGCTGGAGCTTCAAATATGTTTTTCTTCCTTGCCGAGATAAATTTGAGCTTCTATAAAACATCTATTGCTCCCTGACCCGATCCGCTCGTCTTTCGTTTAGTATCTTTTGTTATTAAATGAGATAGTATTATCGGAAGCAATTTATTGTCTGATTCGGTTAACTTGATTGGCTGTTACTGATTGATAAGCTAATGGTATATCTCTGCAGGAACATATTATCAGAACATGCCATGGTTCTGTCTCTGTTTCTGTGTATGGAGATCGGGACAAGCCAGCTCTAATCACATACCCGGATTTGGGTTTAAATTGTAAGTTTTAAATGGGTTTTGGGTTTTATATAACCCTTGACTTTTTTGTTATTTTTAACTGCAGGGCTTTACTATATCTCTGGATCTTTTTCTTGTTTTTTATATGAGTGTTGTGTGAAAATTATATCCCAGTAGGTTTAGTTTTGACAATCTGGTAGCTTCTGCTTTTAATATACATAGAACAATCTTCATAATAAACATTCGCCCTTTTACCACCTCAAAAATAATATTGTTTTCTTATTAAAGTTTTTTTCGCAGCCAAGGTTCCTAAAATGACTTTTTGTAGATTTTACCGGAAATGATTACTTTCTTGACATTGTTTCTTTTGTTTATATACTGACAGTCTAATTTTTTTTTTCCGTGCGCGTGGTATTGCGGTTTCATCAGACGTCTCCTGCTTTCAGGGGATATTATTTTGTCCTGAAGCATATTACTTGCTGCTCCACAATTTTTGCATATATCACATTAGTCCACCTGGGCATGAGGTCTGTAGCTTTATATCTTGAAACTTTACTATGGTATTGTTTGATTGATATGTCTGCAGTCCTCACTGTTATGAATATTTATATTGTTGAATGTTTGTAATTTACCTGGTTGCTTATCATTCTGTGCTTTCTTCAAGAGCTATTGCAGTTGGGAGCAGCTAAAGTTGATCCAGATTACCCTGTTCTATCTGTAGATGACTTAGCCGATCAAATAGCTGAGGTGCTTAACTTTTTTGGGTGAGTGTGTTCAAGTTTAATCAACAATTGCTTTACATTTAGTGGCGTGATGTAATTGCTTTAAAGCTATCTCCATTTGGCTTTAAACATTGGTAGTTTTGTTTTTTATTTACTATGTTGACAATTTCAAAATCCTTCTGTAATGGACAGATTGAATTGAAAGTGATGGATTAGTAACTCGTGTAACTTATTCTAGCAGATGATATTTTTCTTCCTTGAACCATGGGATCTAATCCTGCTGCTCCTTTTTTTTTTTCAGTCTTAATGCAGTTATGTGTATGGGAGTAACTGCTGGGGCTTACATTCTTACTTTATTTGCTGTAAGCTTTCATGTTTTGTCCCCTCCCTCTCTTAAATGATTTTAAATTACTTAACAGATTTTTCTAACTCTTGACAACAGATGAAGTATAGACAACGAGTTCTTGGTTTGATACTTGTTTCTCCTCTATGTAAAGAACCGTCTTGGTCTGAATGGCTTTACAACAAGGTTTCTTTTCTATGCTGAAAGATCATGTCTTGTAAAAATTCATCTCACATTTTGCTAAAGAATTTGTAATTTTTGCAGGTCATGGCAAATTTACTATACTTTTATGGCACGTGTGGGGTGGTAAAGGAATTATTGCTGAAGCGGTACTTCAGCAAGGTATATTTATGTCCAAAAGCAACCCTTGTTCTAATTCCAGTGTTAGGCTGATACATTTTATTTTATTTGTGGTGATAGGAAATTCGTGGGGGTACTCATATACCGGAATCAGATATAGTTAAAGCATGCCGAAGGGTTAGTCAACATATTTATTTTATGTAGGGACTGGTTTTAAGTCGCATTTAACATGTGCCAACAAATAAATTTTCCCACCATGGTCAAATGCACATATGACATTATGCCCCACCCCAGTAATTCTTTGATATATCATTTTTGTCTCGAAAACATTACATCATTTTGGCCCCTTTTCTGGCAACTGAAAAAACTTGTCTGCATTGCTTGTTTTTTTTTTTCCACTCCTTTCTACATCACAAATGTTTCCTTAATATATGAGCATCACTTGGCTCTTTAATTTGCATTAACAATGCCTTCATAATAATAGGAAATTTCAGCAACAAATAAACATGACATATATATCAGTCTGTAATTAGTTATTAACAATTATTTTCAAATGAGCAAAAAGATAATGGTTTAAAGTTAAACTGCTAAACTTCAATCTTCAACTCCTGTACAATGGCATAACATTTGACAAGCATTGTTAAAAATCAGTTAATACGCACAATAGACCTCAAACAATTTAAAAAAATCAAAATGTATCCATTCCGTAAATAAGTATTCAAATTTCAACTCATTTTACAATTAGGTCGCCCTTTGAATATCATGTCGGTTGTTTCAAAACTATAAATAAATGGTATAATGTGCATTTGACTATGGTGGTTAAATCTATTCACTCCATCATGTTAAAGCAACCCTGGGTTTAACTGGTTGCTTGTTTTCTGAAGCTAAACACTCCTTGTCTAAGTCTGTTTTGATATTTTATGACAGTCGTTGGGGGAGAGGCAAAGCTTGAATGTGTGGCGGTTCCTCGAAGCTATTAATAGGTATGATATTTTACTTCCAAGGTTGTGATTTTCATTTTCTTTTTGAAGGTGGGGTGTTTTAGGAGTGGTGATTTCTTATTATCTGCAACATGTTCATTATTGCTAAGGTTGCAACAATTACACTCAGAAAGTATTCATCGCCGATAAATCACCTGTGTTGTTACACAGTTAACACCAACACCAGTTCAATATGTTTAGGGATGGCACTGCAATTGTACATGTTGCATAGGGACACATTCAATTTTTATTTTACTTTGGGTTGGCATCTTACAGGAGACCTGACCTAAGTGAAGGATTGAGAAAATTACATTGCCGGTCTCTAATTTTTGTCGGGGATATGTCTCCATTTCACTCCGAGGCACTCCATATCACTTCAAAGTTAGACAGACATTATAGCGCCTTAGTTGAGGTATGTAAATAATTCAATTTCCTGTTAGTATGAGATGAAAATATATATATATATATATATATATATATATATATATATATATATATATATATATATATATATATATATATATATATATTTCAAATCAGAATATCAGAATGAGCTATACTTAACATGTGTTTGTTCGGAGCTACAGGTTCAAGCATGTGGTTCAATGGTAACTGAGGAGCAACCTCATGCTATGTTAATACCGATGGAGTATTTTCTCATGGGATATGGCCTATACAGGCCATCAAGGTCAAGTGTCAGCCCAAGAAGTCCTTTGAGTCCATCTTGCATTTCTCCTGAGCTTTTTTCACCAGAGAGTATGGGTTTGAAATTAAAACCTATAAAAACAAGAATTGCTGGGGAAATGTAGAAGTAGATGAATAATAATAGTTGGTTGGCAATTTGCTTCCCCATCTGATCTGTTCATGGAATAAGTTCATTTTTCTATGGTTAGTGAAAGAGATGATGAAATAGGGGATGGCCTATTGTTGTATAGATAATGGGATAAGGAAATAAGAAATCCACAAAAAAGGAAAGAAACTGCAAGAGTAAGTTTAGAAGAAATGAACAGATAGTTATTCATTCTTTTATAATCATAGATTTTAGTCAATGAGTCTGAAGCATCAAGTTGACAGCTTCAGAATTGTTGTTTTTGTATTTAGTTTTGTTTTAAAGGAAGTTGTGAGTACAATTGTAAAGCAAACATGGAGACATAAAATGTCATCTCCTGCTTTGAAAAAGTTGTCGGCAATCGACATATCTTTTCCACTGTTTATATATATGTTATATTTTATTGGCTGTTTTGTAGTTTCAATTATTTTCGCATTTTATCATTATGGAAAAGTGTTACCTATTGATCGTGTAATATAGAATGGACTTTTTGTGATAGTTGGATTGTAAACCTTATTTTCATAAACTATATTATTCTGATTATTGAAATTCTAGCATCTATCTTTAACGTTTTTGCTATTGTGTTTCTAAAAGTTCATAAATATGTTTGCTTTGATTTTTAATGATTGGTTTTATTAAGTAAAAAAAAATTCTTTCTTTTAAATTGGTAATTTGTTTTTGGCATGTCGTCTCCCACCGGTGTGTGCTTTAAGATAAAAATTTACACAAATTGATTTGAATCACTTTGTGTGCTTGAAAACTAAATTACCCTTGACCAAACCAAATTAATTATCATAGAAGATGAATGGAACATAATTAGAAATTGTTCCAATTAACATTAGAATCGGTTTCTCTTAAATGACAAATTTCATGAGAATATAAACCACGATGATTCAGACTTGTCTTTATTTAGTTTAATTTTAGATTAAAAATTCTAATAATCAAAAACCTAATGCATAATGAAGAGACAATCACCTTAATTTGACAAAAGTACAATGACATAATTCATCAATCACAAATTTTCAGATATGGAATTTTTGAGTTAGCATTTGCTACCCTAATTCTTTATTCAAGAAGTCTATATATCTGCATTCATAATTATATTAGGAAAGCTGATTTAAACATTTGTACAAAGACAAAAATTAAAGATTAAGTCTTCAAATTTTCAAACATGCAACCACTTGTCAAGATCATGTGCCCACTTTTGCTAAGAGTAGGGGACCTAATGCCTTTATAACATGATAATGATAATTTGGTTATATAAACCACTGATTAATTTGCTACTTAAATAGTAAATATCAGTCACTTTTGTACTTTAAAGGCATATAACGATATTTTATCAAACTTGTATTTTTATGTTTTCATATTCACTCATTACAAATTTGGTTTATTAGCCTAGGATGCATTATCTTAAAGAGCAATTTTGATTTTATCAAACTTGTATTTTTATGTTTTCATATGAATGAATTAAAAGAGCAATGCATTATCACAGCTGGAAAATGTTACTATCTTGAAATTAAATACACTTCTATTATGAAGTTATATTTATCTTTGTTTTATGTTTGTAATAAATTTAAATATTGTTTTTTTATATATTTAATAAAAGTGACATTATTAGGTAACGGCTGAGCAATAAAATGGATTGTCAAACTCAATATTTTTTGTTGATACATGTGCCCCTCAATGAAGTTAAAGGTCAATTTCTATGATTTGTTAGATCGGTCTAACTTTGTTTTCATAATCAAACCTCAAATTTTTATGTTTAATAGTTTTTGAATTCAAAACGGGCAAACTTCTATCACAACACTTTTGCATAGAAATTTAAGACACAATAGACGATCTAAACTTTTATTACAACACTTTTGTATAGAAGTTCAAGATTCATTAGACGAGTCTAATCTTGTTGTTATAGTCAAATTTTATATTTTTATGTTTGATGAATCTATAACCTAAAAAATGAGTGTAGAAGTTTCAGATTCATTAGACGAGTCTAATCTTGTTGTTATAGTCAAAATTTTATATGTTTATATTTGATGAATCTAGAATCTAAAAGGATTTGGAGTTGGTGTTATCAACATAAACCTAGAAGGAAAGATTTAAAAATGCAAATGTCGGCTAGGTCCTAAATTTTTCAATAATAAAGTCAAACTGTTGATCATGGGATTTGAGATACTACTTGGTAGGCATGGTTAAGGACTATGACCATATATAAATCAAATTGGAAGTGGGACTTAAGATACTTGTAGCCATGGTCAAAGACTATGACCATATACAAGTTTCGAGAGATTTTCAATGTTAAGGAATTTGGATATTAGGGATATACCGTTAATACTCAGATTCTAAACTAGAGGTAACAATGTAAGAATATCACCTGGTGGAATTGAATCATATAATGTAAGAGTAATATAAGAAGATGAAGTTGTTTAACTGAAAAATGTCTAACTTTCATTCATGAGCTGCAACCAATATATAAAGCTCATTGATTATAATCCAACCAATCATGTGTCAAGGGAAATAACAAATTATGTGCTGACAAATCAACATGATTTGACATCTCACATAACAGACAAAATAAGAATAACGACAAAATAAAAAATAGGCAAACTAATCGAAATCCTATGACAATACTCTCCCTTTAACAACACCCATGTCCTCATGAGCGAAAATTAGGAAATTTCTTCAACAAATCAGAGTAGAATTCTCATGTGACTTTGTCGACAGGCAAGTCTTTCCACTATACCAAGACCTTCGTGGTGGTTATGCGTCATCTCTTAACCATCTTCTTGTCAAGTATTACAAGAGGAGTCTTTTCAACTTGAATCAATGGTGATGGCGGATGTTGTACATATTGTCCTTGAGTATTTGGGCATAATTTAAGCTAGGCAATATGAAAGTCATTGTGTATGGAAGTAGCACGAGGGAGTGAGTTTTTCAATTAATATGCATTAGAACCAATGTGATTCTCAATGAGGAAGAGACCATAGAATTTTGATAGTAGCTTATAGATGGCATGTTGTTTCATGAAAATTTGTCTGTATGATTAAAGATTGAGGTACACGTAATCACTAAAAATGTTTTAAAATCTAGACCGACCAATAATTGACTCGGTCATGTACTGTATCACTGAGTTAATGGTCAAACCGACATGTCACTAACCCGCATGAATGCTAATCCAATCTCTTAAAAAATCAAAATAATAAAACATGTACATATATAATTTAACCGTATTAAACTAAATAATAACTAATCCAAAATACAATTAATCTATTCTAATTTAATTATAAATTATAAATTTAGACCCAACCCTAAATATACATACTATATTTTTAATTTAATACTTATATTTATAAATATAACTGATGACACGAAAAGATATAATATTTTCCGTCTGAATTACATAGATTAAATTCCCGATTCTTCGATTATTATGTCATATTTTATCCTTTTTTTTGTAGTTTTGAATCATATTTCAGGTACTTTGCATTTGCAAGGCATAAATAAGAAAAAGAAGAAAAAAAATATAAAAATGAAGAAGAAATGGCTTTAAAAAAGCAAAAATGTATTTCTGTACAAGAGAAGTGTGCCGCCCGCCACAAGGCCATTACGACCGGCACGAGTTGAATTATTGTGCCCCTCGGCATGCTCACGTTACGACCGGCACACTTGTGATTACGTGCCACAATCCAAGCAGTTACGAAGTCTTCACCAGTATAGCATATTAAGCGCACGTCACCTGTATTTTCTCCGCCTAAAGAACGTGAATCATGGAAGTTACCTATTTTTCCTCAACAAAAATGGACTCTATATTTAAGCAAGCAGTTACCAACTTGGACTCTCTCTCTCTCTCTCTCTCTCTCTCTCTCTCTCTCTCTCTCTCTCTCTCTCTCTCGCTCCTGGCTCTTTTGTTTTGATTCTCTCTAGCCTGCACCTTGAACAATTATTATTACGAAGTTTTATTTTTCTGCAAACATTATTTTCTTCTTATATTCTGCTTTTTGATACCTTCTAGTTTTAGAATTCAACATTAATTTTCCCATAATTTTATTCCATAGGCAGTAAAAACCTCACCGTCAAAGCAGTATTTTTCCACATCAGAGAAATACTACAACATTAGTTTATTTCCAGACCTCCAGAAATTGTTTAAGATTACTCTGATTTTATTCGAGCTATTTTTACTTAAAGTTAATCCTGCCGGCTTGTGGAGGACACACGCATTATTGAAATTTACTGCTTTGTATTCACTTTTAGGTTCTTATTTTAATAAGCATATTTATTTATTCTCTACTATGCATGCGTTGTCGAATTTACATTTCAATTTTATGATATTCTGTAATAATATTATGTCTGGCTAGATTCCCTATACCGGTATGTAGAACTTGACTGAAAAGAGTTCGGTAATTAATTGGCATTATTGTTTTTACAAAAAGAATACTTTCTGGTTTTAATTTCCAATTGAATATTTAAATGTTTTTATACGGAAGTAAGAAATAATCTAAGGTTAAAATTCAATAGAGCGGAAGTTTGAGGTTTTACCCAGATAGTGGGTATTGAAACATTAATTTTAAAAACAGCGGAAGTGCTTTAAAGTTAATTGAATCTTATTTGTTTTATAAAAATACTTTTGAGTTTTAAATGAAACAACGGAAGCGCTCATTTTGAGCTTAACTGATATGATCTGATTCAATAGAACGGGAGTTTGAGACGAAGGTTTTTAAACAAATAGTTTCACCGAAATTGTATTTTAATACTAAACAAATGTCAATGACGTACTGAACCCCTTAAGTCAATGAAATACATACCGATGTCCCTCATTAATTATTAAATTCTAGTTAATTCCCTATTAAACCCCAACACCCAAATTTATTATTAGCCTTAGCTCTACATAGTAACCTTTAGATAACAGTAGTTTTTGACTATCAGTCCTTGTGAGTTCGATATCTTTTAAAACTAAATGATAGAATGTGCACTTGCAGTCACTAC